TAGTTACAGTTATTTTTATATAGTTACAGTTACATTTATCGTTTCTTTTATGGACTACTTTGGTAGTTACAATTACAGTTACAATTACAATGATCGTTTCTTTTATTTTTATTTTACTTATTTTTAAATCTAATTATATGTTTATGTTGTATTTGTATGTACGCACAAAAAGAGCCTTATGTATGTGCAAAAAGATGAGCATTATGTATGAATTGCTATTCTCCACCATAACGTAAACAAATGAAAAACCAAGCCCATGAACAAAGGCATGACCAGAAAATGGTTGACGCCACCAGAAAATGAATTCAAGACGTATTGTGTGAAACGTGGGCTTGAAATTTGTCGCCACCCTCTGGACCACCACTTAGTGGTTTAATTATTGACTTGTTTACTTCATCTCAAAGTAATGTGAATCTTAATGCAATATTGAGGAGAAGGAATGTAAGTGATAATTAAAAATGTTCAGATGAATATGATGTGTGAAAGTCTTACTTTTATTCTTGAAGTTTTGAGGGAAATTTCGTCAACGTCTATTTTTCAAACTTTCAAACGCCTCATTCCATTTTTATTGGGTAGAGGTTATTATGATTCCCAATAATGCATATTATTAATGGTTCATTCTCTCCAAAAGAGACTACACAATACCCTTCACCTCCAAACATCCATTTTTGCCGCTCTCTCTCTCTCTCTCTCTCTCTCTCTCTCTTCTTCTTCTCCTCTTCCTCCTTCTACGTCCTTCTTGTCTTCGCCTTTGACGCTTTCGCCTTGTTAATTTTCTCGTGTGGAATCACCATCATTAGTCGCCATCATCATCAGTCGCCTACTCCAACTATTTCTTCGGAAGTCTCCTCCCCTCTCAAAGGGTAAAGCTTCTTTCTCTATCTCTCTTTATCTCTTTCATTTACCTATTTCTCTCTATGTGTTCTTAATTTCTTCTTTGATTAAGAAAGTATAGATCGACTTTGTTGTTGCAACTTTTTGATGAATGGGTGTGTGAGGAGAAAAGAGGAGAGTGTTAAATCCGGGGCCATTTTGTGGCGTTTAGGCTTTGTTTTGTAGGTTTTAGTTAGCTCTGAGCTTTAGTAGAATATAAATTAAGATATACATGTTTCTTGCTCACCAATCACTTAACTATTTTCTCTCTTTCTTTCTTGATTCAGCTTCCTATCAGAATATCCATGATTTAAACTATGCGTCTGTTTCTGAATAGCTTATTCATTTGCCAACGGTGAATTGGGTATTGTTTTTAGAGAATAATTCGTGAATAAATTGATCTTGAATTTGGTTGTTTTTGTTTTCAGAAGAATGTTTGAGTTTTCTTTTTGTGGTTTACGTTTGTTAATAGCCAAACGAAGTTGTTGAAGAGACTCTAATGGCTGTAAGGAGTCTCATGATATTCATTACTTTTGCCGTGATTTTCCTGGGTGGATTTGTTTCTGCCTCTTTTACGACAAAATTATATTGACTTTAAGAACAATGTATAGCCAATCATTGTCATCCAACTTCACTACAAGTCCAAGAATAGTGACTTGGGCAATCATGTAATTCCACTGGGTGGCGCGTACAATTTTACTTTCCAAAACAATATCTAGATACTGACGGTCTCTCAAATACCTTAACTTCGCACGGACGACTAACCCATCATAGTCCTGGTCCTATTAGTTTGCTCAAGCTTGCTATAGCATTAGATTATTTGCATGTTTTGTCCAACTATAACATACACGAAAATATAATATTGGTGTTTAGGCGTGATATATTCTTGTAATGGCTTCAGTAGTTTGCTCAGCTTGCTATAATCTTTAATGTAATTTATTTTATTTGTTTGTGATCATCTAAAACAAGACGAGTCGGCCTTGCCCTGCCATGCCTGTCTCGTTAAACATGAACTCATGTCTAATATCCCTCCATATAGCTATGTTTCTCAATACTTTTTCTACTTCTTTCTTGGCTTTTTCTTCAATCCATATGTGCTTGTTTTACTCGGGTTGGGCTAGCCTAGCCCGACTCATTGTACACCCATACAAACACCAATTATGCTTACTACTCTTAATATAATCCAATTTCTAATCAATCATTTTGTTTTTTAAGATTTTTACCCAAATGTTGTTTCCCATGTAGTGGCAGTACCTCGATACAAATGAGGTTTTGGGTTTGGGTTTTTTATTCATCTAAAAGTCAAAGACTCATAGCAAAGTTGTCTCTCTTTAATGGGAAATTCAAATTCTTCATAGAAATAGTTCATTCACAATCTTTATTGTAATTTATTTTATTCGTTTGTGCTCATCTAAAACAAGGTGAGTCAACCTAGCCCGGCCTGACCCGTCTCGTTGTACATGAACTCATGCGTAATATCCCTTGAAGTAAAAATGGCACTTATCATTATGCTCACTTCTCAATGTTCTCTATCTCTTCTCCTCATTCTCGTGTTGCTTCCTCTAAAATTTTTTGTCTCCTCTGATTTCTGCCTTCTCCTCCACTCTGTCCAAAAACTGTGGAGAACTCGAAGCTCTGTGAAGGGAACCCAAGAGGAAAGGTTGGATGAAGTTACTTGTGATGATGATGTGGGTGGTGTTTGGAAGCAGATTGCTCAAATTGGTGCTTTGGTGGTGACCTTGTTGCTTTATGCATGAAATCTTCTTTGCAATTGATAGGGGAGAACGTGGATATGATTGACTTAGATGATGAACCCATTGTTGTAGAGATACTTAATTCAACAGATGTTACAAATGAGAAATTCCATACTGTTATTAAAACAAGCAATCCATCTAATTTACGTCATTTGAGGAAAAAAGACACGTTCATTCTTGGAAGTTTAGCGTTCAAGGTCACTATAACTCTCAGAGAATGTTGCGTGGTTTTCCTTGAGAACTTTTGCCAGGGGAAACACATAGAAATGGAGGATGAAGTTGCTTATGATGACGTAGATGGTGTTCAAGTAGATACCTCAAATTCGTGATTTGGTCGAGCTGCCCTTAAGTTATTCTAAGCTTTTTACATCAATCGGTGTGAAAGATCCGAAAGGAATTATGTTTCCTAGACTCCTAGGTTCAGAAAAGGCACTAATAGTCAGTAGGGGTGCACCTTGGGTTGGATCAATTCGAACTCGTCCATGTCAAACCCGACTTAAACCCGAACAAGTGGGTTTTTTTATAGTTATAACCCGACCAAACCTAACCCAATTTCAACCCGTTTATTGATTGGGTTGAGTTGAGTTGATCATTTGCCTGTCCATCCCTAACCCAACCCAACCCGACTAACCAAACCCAATCTAACTAGATTGTTACCCATATCGATTAATGCTCATACTACACCCAAGTAAGCCAAGTCTAAAAACCAACGCTCTTTCTAATATTTTTTTAAAAATAAATTACCCTTTATAATTACTTAAGCTTTTAAGGAATAAGAGGCTTCAATTAGTCAGCTCATAATTGTAGTCTTTAAATCCTAAAGCTTTATAGTAGATTGATTTATGAAATTAAAGTTAGCTAGCTTTGATGCTACTTGGCTTAATTTGTTTTAGGAATTCTTGGAAACTAAGTTGTTATAAGATTAAACTTAAAAAAGTTAGGCAACCTGAACCCAACCCAAGTAAACCCTAACCCAATTGAACCTGAGCCCAAATGAACCCGAATGAAACCTAACCCGATCCTGAATTGTAAAAGTTGGGTTAGGATTGGGTTGACCTTCAAACCCGCCTGATTTGCACCCCTAATAGTCAGAGATAGTCATGGGTATGCTAGTGGAACAAATGAACACTTCCAGAATGCTCTTAGAACAAACAATCTATCTACTTTGTGTGAAACAATGAGTGTTCTTTGTATTTCTTTTCTGAATTCTTGTTATCCTTGTGTGGTTTTCCTGTATAAATCAAATCTCTTAGATAGTCTTCCTTTTATGTATGCATTGTGTAGAAAGTATACTTGTACATCAAGGCTTTGTAATCAAGCCTCAAATAATCGAGGAATTCAGCTACATACCTTTTATGCTCTTTTCGATTGATCTCCATAGTTGTTTAGCAAGACATCTTTTTTAGTAAAGTAACTAGTATTTGTTTTGGTCATTGTGACCTTTCTCTATATTTGTTTGTGTTTAATGTTTCGCTTATATTCATCCAGTGTTTGGAAAATGCCATGATAAACTGACATGATTAGTCATTTTATAAGAGAAATTGGTGATCTGGGTGACATTAGTGCTAGTGGTAGTGGTGGTGGGGATGATGAAATTAGAAGTGATGATGGTGGTGATGAACAAATTAGTGTTAGTGGAAATGGTGGTGAGGACAACGAAATTAGTTGTCATGATGGCAGCGATGAACAAAGTGTTGGTGAAGAAGATGTACTGGAGCCGCCTCATTCTTCTACTAGGTTTGTCCACAATTATATCAAACCCTTAATGCTATGTTCCTTGATCCATATGTGCCTACTTTAATCGGGTTGGGTTGTACACCCATATGAACACCAATATGTTTTAATACTCTTAATATAATCCAATTTCTAATCAATCATTGTGTTTTTTAAGTGCTTTTCCCAAAAGATATTTCCCATGTAGTGATAGTGCCTTGCTAACAAATGAGGTTTTGAGTTTTTGATTCTTCTCAAGGTCAAAGACTCAGAGCAGAGTTGTCTCTCTTTAATGGGAAATTCAAATTCTTCATAGAAATAATTCATTCACAATCTTTATTGTAATTTATTTTATTTGTTTGTGCTTATCTAAAACAAGATGAGTCGACTCAGCACGGCCTGACCCGTCTCGTTGTACATAAACTCATACGTAATATCCCTCGATTAATACACTTAAGGCTTATACCGAACCCATGTATGTTTTTTTCAAACTTTTACTCGAGAAGTTTTGAAAGAGATTTTGTAAACGTATGATCTTTCAAACTTTCAAACGGCCCAATCTATTTTGATTGGGTGGAGGCCATTATAATTCCCAATAATGCATATTATTAATAGTTCAACCTTTCCATAAAAAGGTTGTACAATACCATTCACCCTCAAACAACCACTTTTGTCGATTACAACAAAAATGAATCGTTGGGTTTCTAATAGCCATTTTCGACGATTGAGTTCAACTACAAATTTCACTCATCATTCCTCTCACATCTCACTGTTCTTTATCTCTTCTCATTCTCTTGCTGTTTCCTCTAAATTCTTCTGTCTTCTCTGAATTTTGCTTTCACACCTAGTCTTCTCACTCATAGACGTTGTCTCTCTTCTTCTTCTTCTTCTTCTTCTTATTCTTCTCCTACGTCCTTCTTATCTTGGCATTTGACGCAGTCACCGACTTCGACTGTTTCTTCAGCCGTCTACTCCTCTCTCTCAGGGTAATGCTTCTCTGTCTTTGTTTCTTTCCTATTGTTCTTAATTTGCTCTTTGAGTAAGAAGGAATAGATAGACGTTGCTGCTGGCACTCTTTTATGAATGGGTGGGTGAGGAGAGGAGATGAGAATGTTGGATCCGAGGCCATTTTGTAGTGTTTGGGTTTTGTTTTGTGGGTTTCAGTTAGATCTGGCCTTTAATAAAATATAAATTAGAACGTGCATGTTTCTTGGTCGCCAATCACTTAGCTATTTTCTCTCTATCCGCTTCCTATCAGAATATTCTTGATTTAAAGTATGCTTATGTTTTTTAACAGTTTATTCATTTGCCAACTTCACTGCAAGTCCAAAATTCGAACACTTTCAAATCCTTTAAACTCGAAATTCAAAATTTTGAAATCAAACCTTGTGATCCACCGCTGCAACCACCACCAAAGCCAGCCAGGTCAAGCCCTGCACCACCAAATTGGTCTCTCGATCCCAAAACGGCTGCTTCCAATTCATTGTCGGCGCATCACCTGAAGCCTCAAGACTGGTCGCTAAGCCTAGTGAGTCTACAGTGGCTCCCCCGTCTACTTCTCCGCAGTACTTAGCTTCTTCTTTTTTCGTTTTTTCTTTATTTAATTTTTTAATTATATAAAAATAAAATATATTTTTTGTTATTTTAATATTTTAATCCCTATATTTTAGACTTGTAGGATCCAGTTATGTGCCACGTCAACACATAACAGAAATTTTGACAGAATAGTGACGAAATGACCACATTGATTTGTGACACCCATTTTTAGGGACTGCATTGATCGATTTGCAATTTTAGCGATCATCTTGATAGGGTAGGCCAATTTCAGGAACCGTTTGTGATAAAAACTGAAATATGTATTTGATGGAACTTGACAATTTTATATCCTTAGGTTATTATATACATATGCGATGAATGGTCTTTTTATAAGAAAACTGGGTGGTATGGTTGGCATTAATGCTTGTGGCAGTGGTGGTGGGAACGACGAAATTAGCAGTGATGATGGTGGCGATGAACAAATTAGTGCTAGCAGCAATGGTGGTAGGGACAACAAAATTAGCAGTGATGATGGTGGGATGAACAAACTATTGATGAAGATGTACCGGAGTCGCCTATTGCTACTAGGTTTGTCTGCAGTTATATCAAACTCTCAATGCTAGGTTCAAACACCTAATATATCTAACTTTTTGGATTTGATTTGTTTAAATGGTTGTGTATATCTGCATGGGGTAGAGCTGCCCGATGGATCATTCGTGCGTCAATCCCGTTAATAGCAGGGAGCGCCACTGTAGTAACTACGAGGTCAAAGGGCATCACGTTTGGTGTGTTCAATTTATTCACGAACAGACTATCCTTTTTATTGATGTTGCTCGCTACAATCATCTTGAGGTTAGTATTTTAGACATTTTCTTTTATGAATTTAATGTGAGTTAATTTGTTTATTTAACACAATGTTTTATTTCATTTGTTGCCCCACTCAATATAGGGCACTGCATGAAAACACCGTTCTAGGTATGAAGAATTTCATGTCACATGAAACATCGTTCTTTTTGCTCTTCGTTTCATGATTGATTGCAACATAGTTGGTGCTTGGTGGAAAGCTGGAAAATATAAGACAGCGAAGCATCTGTCCTAGCTATTACCAAGAAGGGTTTGATTGCCTGTACCCTTATGCTTTCAAGGCACTATTTATGGTTAGTGAATATAAATGTCATTTGCATGTTGAACTATATCCCACTTGGCAAATATGTCATTGACAACCTGCCTTTTTAGATGTAATTTGCATGTTTGGATTCAGCAGCTACCCAAGGAATTGCACATTTTAAGCTCTTATGCTCCTTTACTTCACTGTGATAACATTTTTGGCATAGCATCAGTAACCAATCATGAGCATATTGAAATTGATTGTCATTTTGTTCGTGAACAACACTCTTTTGTTGCAGTTTGTAGCTTCTGCATATCAGTGTGTAGACATTTTCACAAAAGGATTATGTTCTCCTCAATTTAGTGTTCATTGTTCCAATCTTATGCTAGGTTGTTTCCACTCTTTGCTGGTGGCTTAGAGGGTAAGATAATTGAATATACGCTCTCTTTTGCTCTTCTATAGTTGGTCGATGTTCATTTACTCTACTATATTTATTTTCATTTCTGCAGTTACCATGTGTACAGGGGAAAGGAAAGATGCATACATATTTGTAGTTAACACTGGAGATGATATGCAAGACGTCATCTTCAACACTGATCCATAAATCTTTCCAAACCTATTAGTATGATGAAGGAATCCCTTAAACATCAAACATTTCCCGTCACAAAAACATACCAAGATAAATTTCTTAAACGGTGTTGCGGTTCAATTGACAAATTTCTCAAACGACGTACAAATTTCTTAAATGACGTCCAAATGAAGGATGGTGAAGAATATATCACGTCGTTCCATCCTTTTCAATATCACGTTGAAGCATGGTGAAGAATATATCACGCTGTGTTTAGAATTGAAAACATGTGGCACCTAAAAACAGGCAAAAGTTTAACCAAAATCCTAAAAGCTATAGATGTTTAGTCTATGAAAGAGTACAATTAGGCGCCAAATTCTAAACACCCCATATTAAAAAGCATAAATAAGTTACAATGAAACTTCATAAACAGATATAGTCGTGGAATATTTAAAGGGTGTTGGCCAAACAAACCCTGTAAGCATACAATTCTGGCAATGTTGAAGATAACACCACTCGCCTTGCTCATTGTCTTGACATTGCCGACGCCGTTGTTATGCTTCAGTAATGTTAAGAGACATGTGGTTATAACTAATAATTTAGGCCCAGGGATTGTTTTAATGGTTAAATGCAAATCCAAAAACGATGACCTTGGCCGGCACGAGATCCTGTTTCAACACTCGTTTTCATGGAAGTTCAAAACTAATTCAATCAGCACATTGTTCTTTTGCCACATGCGGTGGAATAAGTTCAGCGGAAGCTTTGAGGTATACAAGGCTTCGAGAGATGATAAACGGTGTGCAAACTGTTTGTGGAGAATTGATCAACAAGCAGCTTTTACATATGATGAAGTCAATGGAAAATGGGATATGGGGCATGTGTGGCAGAAATGAAAGATTAATTAATTTCTATTTTTAATTTTTTTTGGTCAAACAATAAATTTGGTTACATTGATCACCGAATGATTTTGAACTCACGTTGTTATGTAAAAGCTTTCCCCATTGTGGTCAATAGCCATTACTGTGCTAAAGAGCCACTTGCAATAAAAATTCCTTTTTGCTTTTTTTTTGGTCAAATGATAAATTTGTTAGATTAGAGAGCCGACAGGGTTCAAGCTCATACTGTGGTGCAAGGGAAACACTCCCCTCCACCATTAGGGTAAAGGGCTACTTGCATAAAAATTCATTTTGTAGGCATGCAATTCTATCCATCTCTATTTTTTTATGACTAATTACACCAAAAATAGTAAGATTTTTTTTTTTTGGTAAAATAAGATTTTTTTTTCTTCTTCTTTGTAAACACCATCATCCATCTAAGTTCACCTCACCATTTAAATTTAAATTTAATTTTAGTTTCCTTTAACAGTGTGAAAATACAAAAGAAGGCATATTACTCCAACCTTAATATCTAAAACAAGACGAGTCGGCCCGGCCCTGCCATGCCCGTCTAGTTGTACATAAACTCATGTATAATATCCCTCTACATAGCTATGTTTCTCAATACTTTTTTCTACTTCATTCTTGCCTTTTTCTTCTATCCATATGTGCTTATTTTACTCTTGTTGGGCCAGCCTAGCCTGACTCATTGTACAACCATATAAACACTAATTATGTTTTAATACTCTTAATATACTCCAATTTCTAATCAATCATTGTGTTTTTAAAGTTCTTTTCCCAAATGTTGTTTCCCATGTAGTGGTAGTGCCTTGCGAAAAATGAGGTTTTGGGTTTGGGTTTTTGATTCATCTAAAAGTCAAAGACTCAAAGCAAAGTTGTCTCTCTTTAATAGGAAATTCAAATTCTTCATAGAAATAATTCATTCACAATCTTTATTGTAATTTATTTTATTCGTTTGTGCTCATCTAAAACACGGTGAAGTGACTTAGCCCGGCCCTACTCATTTCGTTGTACATGAACTCATGCGTAATATCCCTTGAAGTAAAAATAACACTTATCATTCTGCTCACTTCTCAGTGTTCTCTATCTCTTCTCCTCATTCTCGTGTCGCTTCATCTAAATATTTTCGTCTCATCCGAATCGTGCCGTCTCCTTTACTCTATCCAAAACTATGGAGAATTAGAGCTTTGTGAGGGGAACCTAGGAGGAATGGTTGGATGAAGTTACTTGTGATGATGATGTGGTGGTGTTTGGAAGCAGATTGATTAAATTGGTGCTTTGGTGGTGACCCTGCTGCTTTATGCATGAAATCTTCTCTACAATTGATAAAGGAGAATGTGGATATGATTGACTTGGACGATGAACCCGTTGATGCATAGATAGTTAATTCAACAGATGTTACAAATGAGAACTTCCATACTGCTATCAGAATAAGCAATCCATCTGATTTGTGTCATTTGTGGAAAAAAGATATGTTCATTCCCGAAAGTCTAGCGTTCAAGGTCATTGGAACTCTCGGAGAAAGTTGAGTGGTTTTTCCTGAGATCTTTTGCCAGGGAAAACCTGTAGAAAAGGAGGATGAAGTTTCTTATGATGACGTAGATGGTGTTCAAGTAGATGCCTCAAATCCGTGAATTGGTCGAGCTACCCCTAAGTTATTCTAAGCTTTTTACATCAATCGGTGTGAAAGCTTCGAAGGGAATTATGCTTTATAGACTCCTGGGTTCATGAAAGGCACTAATAGTTAGAGATAGTCATGGGTATGCTGGTGGATCAAATGAACACTTCCAGAATGCTCTTGGAACAAACAAGCTACATGCTTTGTGTGAAACAATGAGTGTTCTTTATATTTCTTTTTTGATTTCTTGTTATCATTGTGTGGTTTTCCTAAATAAATCAAACCTCTTAGATAGTATTCCTTTTATGTATGCATTGTATAGAAAGTATACTTGTACATCAAGGCTTTGTAATCAAGCCTCAAATAATCGAGGAATTCACCTGCATACCTTTTATGCTCTTCTCGATTTATCTCCACAATTGTTTAGCAAGACATCTTTTTTAGTAAAGTAACTAGTATTTGTTTTGGTCACCATGACTTTTCTCTATATTTGTTTGTGTTTAATGTTTCGCTTATATTCATCCAGTGTTTGGAAAATGCCATGATAAACTGACATGATTAATCATTTTATAAGAGAAATGGGTGATCTAGGTGGCATTAGTCCTAGTGGTAGTGGTGGTGAGGACAACGAAATTAGTATTGATGATGACGGCGATGAACAAATTAGTGCTAGTGGCAATGGTGGTGAGGATGACGAAATTAGCTATGATGATGGCAACAATGAACAAAGTGTTGGTGAAGAAAATGTACTGGAGCCACCTTCTTCTTCTACTAGGTTTGTCCACAGTTATATCAAACCCTCAATGCTATGTTCCTCGATCCATATGTGCCTGTTTTAATCGAGTTGGCCCGACCTAGCCTGACCCATTGTACACCTATACGAACACCAATATGTTTTAATACTCTTAATATAATCCAATTTCTAATCAATCATTGTGTTTTTTAAGTGCCTTTCCCAAGAGATGTTTCCCATATAGTGGTATTGCCTTGCTAACGAATGAGGTTTTGAGTTTTTGATTCATCTCAAAGTCAAAGACTTAAAGCAAAGTTATCTCTCTTTAATGGGAAATTCAAATTCTTCATAGAAATAATTTACTCACAATCTTTATTGTATTTTATTTTATTCATTTATGCTCATCTAAAACAAGATGAGTCAACCTAGCCTGGCCTGACCCGTCTTGTTGTACATGAACTTATATGTAATATCCATCGATCGATACACTTAAGGCTTATACTGAACCCACGTATGTTTTTTCAAACTATTACTCGAGAAGTTTTGAAAGAAATTTTGTACACGTCTTATTTTTTCGAACTTTCAAACGGCCCAATCCATCTCAAGTCCGTTTGGCAGGAGTTAGATCAACGGAGACCAATCAAGATAAAATGTGTTGTGGATCTCAAGACACTTCGAGAAGAAATTCAAATTGATCGTGTGTATGTTTTTTTGGCGGGTTTGGATGATGCCTTTGATAAAGTGCGTAGTGATATTTACGTACTCAGCCCTTACCATCTGTTGAGGAGGTGTTTTCTGTTGTTCAGCGTGAAACTCAATGACATGCTATTATGATGGGTGGAAGTAACAATTAAGGAGGGCTGCCGTCCATGGCCATGATCACCCGGCCAGCTGGTGCTCCTCGTCTTAGTCATTCTTCTAATCAATCTTTAAATTCTCGTCCCTTCAACCGAGAAAATAAAGATGGTTTGAACTGTACTTTTTATGGACAAACCCGTCATACTGAGGATACGTGCTTTGCTAAGCATGGGGTGCCTGATTGGTTTCCAAAATTGAAGAAAAAATTGCGCGCCAAAGAACGTGGAGCAGTAGGGTCCAGTGGAATTCGTGCCTCCCTTGCTGCGGCTACACCAACTGTCTTGGAAGCTGTGCCTAGCCTTAGTGACTCTAGTCAAAATCTGTTGATTCGTACTCGGGGTGACTCGTCTTCCGACACAGGTACCTTGGGACGTGTTCTCTTAGCCTCCGAAACATAGCACCATATAGGTTGGATTCTGGACTCTAGGGCAACGGATCATATGACATATGATAAAAATATGTTTCAATACATGACTACATCTCACAGAAAAAACATAACAACTGCCAATGGTACTTTGGAACCCGTGTGTGGTGCAGGCACCGTGCATCTCACCCCGACACAATACTCGTATGTGATTAAAGTTCTCCGTTCTGATAATGGTGGCGAGTATATTAATCTTGAGTTGTCGAAGTTTCTGTGTGATCAAGGCATTCTCCATGAAACAACCTGTCCCCATACTCCACAGCAAAATGGGGTGGCTGAAAGGAAAAATCGCCATATCTTAGAAACGGCGTGTGCTCTACTTCTGGGAGTATCTGTTCCTAAGGTATTTTGGCCTGAAGCTGTCACTTATGCCGTCTACGTGATTAATCGTATGCCCTCTCGAGTGGTTGATTTTCGAACTCCTCTTCAAGTTCTCACTCAACATGTTCCAGTGGTGTCTACTAATACTCTCACCCCTTGGGTATTTGGGTGTGTGGCGTATGTGCATATTCAAAAGATTCATCGTACTAAGTTGGATCCATGTGTTCTCCGATGTGTGTTTGTTGGTTTCTCCTCTCACCAAAAAAGGTATAAATGTTATCACCCTGAGACTCGACATCTGTATGTTACCATGGATGTGACTTTTTCTGAGTCAAAGTTGTTTTATGCTCCCTTATCTTCATCTTTAGATCACCAGGGGGAGAGCACTAGTGGTGATCTGGAATGGTTGGATCTAGAGAGAAACATTATGGTAGAGATCACACCTGCCGTGCATAATAGGACTCAGGAGAATGACACTATAGTAGAGATCACTAATGTTATACATAATAGGAATGAGCCCGTTGCAGTACCATTAGAACAACCACAACAGTCACTTACCAAGAGTAGTATGGAGTCACGGCAACAACTTGCCGAGAGTAGTATGGAGTCACGGCAACAACTTGCTGATTCTGCTGATGTACCCCCCTCTCTCTAGCTATACAGTGTTGCCTAATGAATCTTCTCTGGATATACATGAGGTAAGTATTGTGGATGATTATGTAACTAATGCAAATAATGATGTAAATACATATAAGCTGCCACCGAGACAAAATCGAGGTGTGCCACCTGACAGGTTTTCTCCGGAAGGTAAAGTAAAGTATCTAATAGCTAACTATGTCTCATGCAATGGTCTTGCACCAGAGTGCAAGACCTTGGTGGACAATATGGAGTCTATTCGAGTACCAACCCGTGTGGAGGAGGCTCTAACGGATCCAAAGTGGGCAAAAGCAATGGATGAGGAAATGTTGGCATTACAGAAGAATAATACCTGGGAGGTGACGTATTTACCAAAAGGAAAAAAAACAGTTGGATGTCGGTGGGTGTTTACTGTCAAATACAAAGCCGATGGATCAATAGACAAGTACAAAACAAGGTTGCTAGCTAAAGGATACACCCAAACATATGGTGTAGATTATCAAGAAACGTTCTCTCCGGTTGCCAAGATGAATACGGTACGTGTTTTGATATCTTTAGCTCCTAATATGGACTGGCCATTAAAACAGTTTGATGTGAAAATGCTTTCCTCCATGGGAACTTGGAGGAAGAAGTATATATGGATTTTCCTCCTAGGTACAGTGCTAGTAGAAATACCAGAGTTTATCGGTTGCGTAAGTCTCTTTATGGACTTAAGCAATCACCTCGTGCATGGTTTGATAGGTTTACTCAAGTTATGAAAAAGATTGGGTATTATCAGAGTCATTCTAATCATACATTGTTCGTTAAACGAAGACAGGGAAAAGTGACAGCCTTAATCATCTATGTAGATGACATGATTATTACTAGAGATGATTTTGATGAGATTTCAAAGTTACAAAGTAATCTTGCGGCTGAGTTTGAAATGAAGAACCAAGGGGATTTGAAGTATTTTCTTGGTGTTGAAGTTGCTCGATCTTCGAAAGGTATTTTCTTGTCACAACGTAAGTATGTTTTGGATTTGTTAAAAGAAACTGGTATGCTGGGATGTAAGCCAGTAGATACTCCTATTGTTGAAAAACATCATCTATGTTTGGATCCGAATAAGAAATCAGTTGATAAAGGGAGATATTAGAGACTTGTAGGGAGACTAATTTATTTGGCTCATACACGACTAGATATTGCCTATGCAGTGAGTGTAGTAAGTCAATTTATGCATTCACCGAGTGTAGATCATATTGCTGCTGTTATGAGTATCTTAGCACATTTGAAGTCTACCTCTGTAAAAGGAGTTTTATATCGGAAACATGGACATTTGAGGGTTGAGGGGTTCACAAATGCTGATTGGGCAGGAAGTGTGAATGACAGACGGTCTACTTCGGGATATTTTACTTTTGTAGGAGGAAATTTGGTTACATGGCGAAGTAAAAAACAAAAGGTGGTATTAAGATCCTCAGCTGAGGCCGGGTATAGAAGGATGGCTCACGGCATTTGCGAGATTCTCTGGCTTCGAAAACTTCTTGAGGGGCTGGGGTTCAAGCCAAATGAGACCATGAGACTATATTGTGATAATAAGTCAGCGAGAGATATAGTTGATAATCCGGTACAGCATGATAGGACAAAACATGTGGAAGTTGATCGACATTTTATTAAAGAGAAACTTGAGAGGAAGATTGTGTCAATACCATTTGTGAATTCGGAGGAGCAACTTGCAGATGTTTCTAACTCATGCGGTATGTAGTCGAAAGTTTGATGACTCACTTGTCAAGTTGGGCATGTGTGATATCTATGCACCAACTTGAGGGAGAGTGTTAGTCGTGAGTCAATATTAGGAAAAAAGGGAATGTAAATACTAGGAGTCCTTTATTAGGTAGGTTTGTTTATAAGCTTTATTATTTGTTTCCTTATTGAACAATGATTGTACATGTATATATTTAAGAAGAAGCAATACAAGAAATTATCCCGTAAAAGTTCTATTTCAACCTCCCCAAAAGAGATTGTACAGTACCTTTCACCCTTAAACAGCCATTTTTGCCAATTACAACAAAAATGAATCGTTGGGTTTCTGATTGCCATTTATGGCGATCGAGTTCAACTACAAATTTCACTCATCATTCCCCTCACTTCTCACTATTCTTTATCTATTCTCCTTCCTTCTCTTGCTATTTCCTCTAAATTCTTCTGTCTTCTCCAGATTCTGCCTTCTCAATTCTCAGTCTTCTCACTCACAGACACTATCTCTCTTCTTCTTCTTCTTCTTTGGATTCTGCACCATCATCAGTCACCGACTTTGACTGTTTCTTCAGTCCAGCTCAGACCTCCAATTGAGCCTAGCAGTCTCCAAACTTTCATGCGCTGGCTCAGTTCTCTAGTTTCCAGTCTTCTCAACCAAACCCATTAAATGGGTTCTTTTATTAAAAAAAAAAAAAAGTATGGCTTCACTTTATTAGAAGTTCTTTTGAGCATAAGTTTTGTAAATTTGTACTATTATATTCAACTACAAGAAGTCGAGGATACATCTTTGATAATATACAAGAATTTTCCTTAAAAACTAGATTCACGTAGCAGTGTATGGTAGAAAAATACTAATAATTGAGCGGATTACAACGTGTTTATTATGCTTATTTGCCATCAGGGTGACACTCATGCTGTTAAGAAGAATCAACCATCCTATCGACCCATTTAATTTTGTACCAACTTAGTGGTGGATATTAAATCATGGCACCATTATTAAGTATAAAGTGGGGCTGTAAGTTTCTGTTAGGAAGCTAAGAACAGCAAAAGTGGTCATTTTACATTAATTATCTTTTCTCCTACTTATGGGTGTTGTGCTTCACGGACCAACCAAAAGCAACAAAATGATTCACCTTTTTCTGTGTTTTACTCCCGCCGTGGGCCAGGAGAGGACAATTAGCAACATGCATCTTTCTACACGGCGGAGTTGCTGATCATGTGCTCAGGCTCTATTGCTTCTTTCTCCTTTTTTTATTCAATTTCTGGAAAATGGTTTTGTGCGGTTTCATCCACGAAGAAAATTTAGGAGCAGATAATAAGTCATCAGAAAACCATCCATTTCAGCGTCGAGAAGCAAATAGTTAGTTTAACCAAGCGTTGAGAACAAGTAACATCAAAGCCGGGTCAGAGAAAACATGCAATACAGTGAAGTGAAGTTGTAACGTTGCCAGAATAGTAGATGGCTATATGCTCTTCTTCTTGTGCTGAAAATTAACTCTTAATCGTCATACTTAACTTTGCACGGACTTGACTCACCCGTCAGAGTCCCGGTCCCATTATTTTGGGCAAACCCGGTGAACTCGACGCGATCGCAGAAGACCAGCAATGACAGCCCTCTCCGTTGATACATTTGAGGCTCAAACCGAACCTGCGCCGTCACCCCAACTGTGAACCTCACCGTCCCGCGATCTTTCCCGTCGGCGATTCCCCTCGCCACCTGGTCGCCGACGTACTCCCCCACCATCGCGAGCTTAATGTTGACGCGCGTCTGGTTGCTCTTGGGTACGACGAAGTCAGGCACCCCATTCATGGTGAGCGGAAATCCCTCGTTGTATATGAGCGAGGCCGCGGGGCTGTCGAAGAAGACGGTGACCTTGCGGCTGGGGTTGGTGGCGAGGAGGGTAAAGTTCCACGTGGCGGTGAGCTCGGAGCTAGTCGCGTTGAGCGGGGAGACGGCGGCGGATTCGACCCGGAACTCAGGGAAGGTGAAACTGCCGATGTTGAACCAGATGATAAAGAAGAAGAACCCGCCGACGACGGCGATGACGGCGACGATCGAGATGATGCGGTCAAGGATGTTGGGCAGCGGTGCTGCGGCAGGGTAGCCAGTGGGAAATTGGCCGGGCGGAGCTGGATAGCCGGTGTCTTGCCCTTCGGATGAAGTAGCCATTTACCTATTCTGATATTCCTGAAATACCTCCCACCCTATCACTTTCACTTTCACTCTGCAAATTGGGTTTTTTGTTGTTGTTGATGGGATGGGTTGTGGCCTAAGGGTCCTCCAGAGATTCGATGGCGGGGTAAGTAGCAGCTCCGGGGTGGGGGTTCTGCAATTAGAGACAGAAAAGGGAGGAAGAGGAGGAGAAAAAATAAAGGGAGAATTCAGGAGTGGAGGTGTGGGGATGATTCTGATGGGTTTGATGATTTTATTTCCTCTCCTATTTGTCTTTATAAGTTTTTGGTATTTATCCTATTTGGTATTGATAAGAAAAAAAATCAAATACATTGAACCAAAAAAACCACAATTAAACACACATTATCAAATGTGGTTTGGGTGAAAAGCAATAACTCCAACTTCAACAACAACAACAAATAAATTAACATCCACATTATTTGATTTATAAAATTTGGTTTAAAGACTTCAATTTTGTAAAGGTTAAAAGAAACCATGATTGAAGCTTGTAGTTCTAATCGTTCTTCCGCTATGGGAATTAAATTGCAACATTTGAAATTACACGAACGAAAGTAAATGTCAACCTGCGGAATTTAATTTTAATTAATTTTATGTTAATTAAGGATAAAAAATCATTTTTAATAAGGTGTAATAATAAGATTAAGCTCGATAAAACTGATAAACTTGAGACTACCTCGAGTTAAGCCCTAACTCGGTTGAAACGAACTCACTTGAACGCAAAATTATACCTCAATTCAAATGAGAAGGGGAAAGACATATTTGATTGATTTGTATTTGAATCAAGTAAATTCTGGTCCATATTTAATAGTATGTGCACAGAGGCAGTAATATAGAACCTGTTTATACCATATTTAGGGCCTCCGTATTTAGATCTCGTATAAATACTCGGGGGACTTAAATGTAATTATGTAATAAAGGAAGGGGCAAATATGTAATAAGTGAGGAGCCCTTATTCTATAAAAGGACTCTTCACCCTCACAATTAGAGGAGGCCATTTTCTGAGGCCACACCCTCACCCTCTCAAAGCTCTCACTCTCATAGAGAAGCTCCCTCTCTCCCTCAGAAATACAATATCAGTGTGGACGTAGCCCAAACCTTGGGATGAACCACGATACATCTTGTGTTATTTACATTTCTTGTAAATTCACGGTCGAATTTACATTGTTCTAAGACCCTTCCTGTTTTGTGCATCAACATTTGGCGCCATCTGTGGGAATCGATACGAAAAGTTGTGTCGGTTCTCTTTCATTTTTTTCACCTTCGCCATGAATATGCAAAATCACAAAAACCCAAGAAACCAAATTTCTCTTTTTCTCCTCTCTCAATCAGTCGGACTGATTGCTCGCCGAAGCTTTCTTTCTCCCTTCTCTCTCTCTACAATTACGATGTAAATATAAAAGGGAAGCGACTCCCACGCCTTTGGCTTCAACTCTCTTGCTCTCTCCCTTTCTCTCTCTAAGTCGTCGCCTCCCTCTCCCTCTCCCTCTCTCTAAATGCTGTGAGAAATAAGAAAGAGAAAGTGTGGAAATGGAGAAACACTTGAAGGACTTCGAGATGGAGAACAAGAATCCGTTGGAGCAGACTATAAGGAGATGGAGAAACGTCGTCGCACTTGTAAAAAACCCTCGCAGAAGGTTCCGATTCGTCGTCGATCTCGCCAAACGATCTGAAGCCGAGAAGAAGAAGTTTTAAATCCAGATTCGAACGACGAAGTCAAGCGGTGGATGCTGCAAATCCTATCAGGGGTTGACTCATGTCATCAGAATATAGTGGCCCACCGTTGAGAGTCGTTATGCCTCTGAGAAGGAGAAGAAAGAGAAGACGATCGGACGACCAGAAAAATGAGAAGACGATCGGTGGAAGGTACATGGCGTACTCACCATCACCGTCAGAACCTCACTCCCCTCACCTCTCCAGCCTTCGCTCCGCCTTCTCCTCCGCTGCTCTCGTTGCGGTCGAGAAAGAAAAATATCTATCTAAGCTGCTTGGGGAGCGTCACAAAGAGAGAGAGAGAAATAGTTGTTGGCTGGGGAAAAACAAAGCTTCCAAAACCCTCATTCCACAATCCACATCCAACAACACTTATGAAATCTGCTGTGATGGGTTCATTGGGTTGTTTGAAATTCCACGTTCCTCAACTGGGTTTGAAACAAGATCACCTAGAACTCAACCACCTGAGCTATTTATCCGCAACACCTTCTTCTTCTTCCCGAAAATTCACCACCGTCTGTGGCGGCCTGAGAGGGGGACCGAGAAAGCCTCTATAGAAGTCAAGGGTGCTCTCCACTGAGGCCATTCAGGTAGTTCAGTCTCTGAAGCTTGCCAAATCAACCCCATCGAAACTTGATGAGGTTTTTGATGCAAGACTCTCCAGGCTCTTGAAAGCTGACTTGTTGGACTTCTTGGCCGAGTTGCACAGATAAATGAAGTCCAATTAGCACTCAAGAGACATTGATAGGCAGAAGTTTAATAAAGTCATAGCCTTGATGCGATCTCAAGACAAACAGAACATGGAAGGCCACATGCTCAAGGTTTCTGTCGAAGACAAATGACTGCTCGAGTACTTTTTTGACAAAGACAGCAAAAGAAGTCTGAAACTTGAAAGAATTGTTCAGTTTTCCGTAATTTACACGAAGAAGTATGCGATCTACATCCTGGGCAGCACACAGACAGACAGAGGCAGAGACGTAGTGGAAAGCAAAAGGAAAAGAAAAAAAAGAAAAAGAAAAAGGAGGAGTGATGGGCACGACCAAGCTGTCCAAGAAAAGCAAGTGGAGTTAGCCCTCCAATTTCGCCAAGAGACAGAGATAGAGACACAGTGGAAAGCAAAAGGAATAGAGAAAAAGAGAAAGAAATGGAGTGGGAAAAGCAAAAGCAAAAGCAAAGCAGAAAAACAAAAGCAAGGAATAAACATTTCACCAGAATGATGTGATTTACTTTATTTATTTTTGAATGATATAATTTATTTTTCGTATCTTTTGGAGATATCTGTATAACTCCATCAGAGGGTAATAAAAAAAAACGGCAAGCCCAAAATAATGGGCTACAATGTCATGTGGAGGGCGAAGGCCCATATGCCCAAAAGAGCCAGGCCTTCTATTATCACCAACCAGGTGATCAAAAGTACGCCTAGTACTCCACAATTATTCGGCAACCTGCCACTATTACCACTAACCAGGTGATCAAAAGTACGCCCAGTACTCCAAAATTATTCGGCAACCTGCCGCTATTACTACCAACCAGGTTATCAAAAGTACGTCCAGTATTCCCAAATTATACATGAGCATTACTTATGTCAATCATACATAATAATACATGAGCATTACTCATGTCAATCATACATAAACATTCATGAGCATTACTTATATCAATTATACATAAACATTCATGAGCATCACTCATGTCAACATTCATGAGCATCACTCATGTCAACATCCATGAGCATCACTCATATCAATCAACATACACATTCATGAACATCACTCATGTCAATCAGCTTCAAAAGCTTCATTTACAAAAGCTCTAGCTTTAAAAGCTTCATTTACAGAGCTCCAGCTTCAAAGCTTTACCTACAAAGCTTTAGTGCATGGTATACAAATACCGCCTCCGAACAACCGCCACTTCGGCCCATACATGGATTCAATTTGAAGTCTCCAGCCAACAGACTCTATTGACCGAAGACTTGGGGGACTACATTATGTACCATATATTGGGCCTCAACTGGGCATCATGAAAAATACTCGGGGGACTTAACCCATTATTCATGTATTGAGGAGCGAGCCCCTATTTTATAAAAGTGACTCCCTCACTTTCATTAGAGAGCACCCATTATTCATGTACTGAGGAGCGAGCCCTTATTTTATAAGGGACTCCCTCACCATCATTAAAGAGCATCGCCGCCAGCTGAGCAACCCACTCGCCGCGAGCATCAACTCTAGCCCATCATTTATGTATTGAGGAGCGAGCCTTTATTCTATAAAAAGGACTCCCTCACCTTCGACGCCACAAGCCGAGCCAACCAAGGCAACATAAGCCACAAACCGAGCAGCCTCGCAACATGTGCTACTTCTAGTTGAGCATCATTTCAGATTGGGCACCGCCTTATATCGAGTATCAGTTTTAGACGACATCTAGTTACTTCGGCCCACACATGGACTAAATTTCAAGTCTTCAGCCAAAAGACTCTCTTGACTGAAGACGGGGGACTACTGTTTATACCATACTTAGGGTCTCTGTATTTAGATCTCGTATAAATACTCGGGGGACTTAAATGTAATTATGTAATAAAGGAAGGGGCAAATATGTAATAAAGGAAGGGGCAAATATGTAATAAGTGAGGAGCCCTTATTCTATAAAAAGACTCCTCACCCTCACAATTAGAGGAGACCATTTTCTGAGGCCACACCCTCACCCTCTCAAAGCTCTCACTCTCATAAAGAAGCTCTCTCTCTCCCTCAGAAATACAATATCAGTGTGGACGTAGCCCAAACCTTGGGGTGAACCACGATACATCTTGTGCTATTTACATTTCTTGCAGATTTACGGTCGGATTTACGTTGTTCCAAGACCCCTCCGATTTTGTGCATCAACAGAACCAATATAAATGTAATTTCTTATAATTTATTTCTACAAGCTTTGCCGATTGTTTTGATTTTATAAATCTATATATTAGTAATAACCTTATTATTATTTTGAGATTAGAGGGACGATTATACTTCTTGATTGTTCAGTAGTTAGGGAGACTAGGGTTCAATTGTTGTTGAATGAATGGAAGTGAGAAATGAGACTTTTGTGATCTGGATGAGGCATGCCGTGTGACGAAGAGAAGCTGGAGATAAAGATGATGAAAATGGGGGAGAGCAATTGATTGTGATGGTGGGAATGAAAGAGGCAGGATTTGTTATGGCTTAAGCTACACTATAAACTCTCATAGAATTCATCCATTTAAAAATTTCATCAAATTAATTATACTTTTTTAGCTGACCTAGTAACGTGGATTTGTAACAAAGTAAGATATCAAATTAATTACATTTTAAATACACATATATTTTTATAAAGACCTTTTTATTTTTGGGGTCCCCGTGGTGTCATATTTTTCAATGCCACTGTCGTAGTGAAAAAGTTGTTAACAAAACTCTCATGGTTATCTCCGTTAGTAGTTTAAGTCCAGAGGTAAATTATGTCAGTTTCTCGTTAAATAAACCCATGTGGATCTTATGTAGAGAGGCTAAATTCGTCTTTTTCAAACCAAATCAAGAAACATAAATATATGTCGTTAGATATTAGGGTTCAACTAAAATTGGAATTGACTTGATGAAAAAGAGGCTTGAAATTTGAACAAATATGACTACATATGTAGGTTTCTTGATTTACCAAAAACACAAATTTAGCCTCTCAATGTAAGACACATGTGAGTTTATTTAACATGAGACTAACGGAAGTTTAGATTTAATTTTAATTGCTAAAGAGGTTCACGAAGAGTATTTAGTTAACAATTTTTTCACTACAAAAGAAACATTAGTACTACGAGAGTAACATTAAAAGTACCATAACACCACTGGAACCACAAAAAAATTTGAACCTTTATAATTTCATTTGAAATTCTAATTTAATAGATCAACATTTCTATAAATTTTAGTAAACTCATTGTATTTTAAAAACTCATTTAAAATCTCAATTAAATACGCCCCTCGAGACTCCCCGTACTCCCTAAATAGCATCTACCATTTCTCGATAAATTAAAAAAAAAATAACAAAAATTTAGATCCCGTATAGATTTACAGTCACATTTTTAAATTTTCTAATTCTATTTGAAGTAAAAATTCTGATTATTTTTTTCAAATTTCCTATCTTTCTTTCTCTCACTCTGTTTCCAGTTCCCCCGAGAATAAAAGCCCTCATCTTTCTCTCACCCTGTATCCAGTTTCCCCGATAATAAAAGCCCTCATCTTTCTCTCCTCTTGGCGGCGACTTCATCTCCGTTTCTCCCATTTCCGGCGAGTCTCTCCGCACTCCATCTCATCTTCTCCTTAATCAACTTAGTTGTCTTTCTCCGCAGCTCCGTCTGTCAAGGTACTTCTGTACAGTTTTGAGGAATGTGCAGATTGACTGTAGGAATCTCTTTACTCCTCTTTTGTTTTCTGTCAGCACTTGTTCCATCTGTTTACTCCTCTTTTGTTAAATGAATCTCTATGAATAAAACTGGGAATTTATTAATTGGTTTGTATTAAGGTGAATCGAGTGATTTTTTCGAAATTTAATGTGTCAATTACATGGAATTATGCAGGGATTGGTGTTGGTGTGCCTGCTTTCTAACTGCGTTCATTTTCTGCCTTGCTTGTTGCATGCTTGCTGCAGGTATGATTTTATCATCTGAAATCTGAATGATATGAATTTTGTTAGAGAGTTATATGACTATGAATTTTGAATTCTGAATAATGAATGATAGATGATGATTATTTATCTTATGCAGACTTCACCGCTAAGCCTTCAACAAGAAATATTAGTTAGATTAACTTCAATATCAATGTCAAGAAGCTTTCAAACTATTAGTTTATTGGGAACAGACTGGCAAATTGAACCTTTGCATATCTTTTTAGCTCCTTTCTTCAAGTTGTGAACTGTAACAGATTCTGGTCGCACCACAATTGCAATGTAATTTTTGTGGTCTTCTAATTTGGTGATGCTTTTTATTAGTATTGTTGTTTCTACCAATTTGTTTTTGGCTGAACTATGGCTGTTTATTGTGTTTTTCTAAGTTTCTGTTGCCTTCCCAACTACGTTCTCATTCCCAGTCCATTTCATTGTAGGAGCCAAAACACCACCTAAAATATGACTCTTGTGGCGACTCACTGTGTTGCTGCAGTTCCAACATACCCAATCTATAAGCATCAAAATAAACCTCCTCGGTCTTTCTCTCTGCGCATCTTATCAAAATTGAATCAAGTTTCAGATGTTAAAACTCCGCAGTCCACCTCTTATACTGTCGAGCCAATGAGAGAGTGAGTTTCCAAATCATTTTATATACTTATAATGTCCCATGGAACCCACCAGGTCAACTTGGATTTGTGCAGGTGTGAGTGCTTCAATATGTATAAGCAACAGGTTCCTTATAGTCAGGCATGGGCTTGGCAGAAGAGCATAGTTGAGGAGAAAAAAGCTATGATAGAAAAGAATGATCATTGCCCAGACTCATTGTTCGTTCTTCAGCATTGTCCTGTGTATACCTTGGGAACTGCTAGTTCAGAACAGTTCCTTAATTTTGATATCAAGGACCCACCTTTCGACGTTTATCGAACTGAACGTGGCGGCGAGGTTACATATCATGGTCCGGGTCAGGTACTTCAGTGGCTGAATTTAACCTTTATGTTTCCGAAGATGTTGCCATTGTAATTTGAATTTGTTATCCCACGGTGGTAAAGTAGGAATCAAAATCCCGAACATGTGACTTAATTGCTTAGAGGGTCAGTTTTCCTAACCTTGGATGCATGCGTTTTCACTGTAGATAGTTATGTACCCTATTATGAATCTACGAAATCACAAGATGGATCTTCATTGGTACCTCAGGTCACTTGAGGAGGTGATCATCCGTGCTCTATCAAAGACATTCTGTATCAAGGCATCTCGGCTTGAGGGCCTCACTGGTGTTTGGCATGGTATGCTTCTTAAAACAAAGGCATGCTGTATGTCCTTCCTTTTGTATTATAGCTTATTATCATTGCCACTACCGAGTTTTTGCTCTCATAGATTCCTTTACAAGTGGTGGTTCCTTGTTCCCTAATTTCTTCGTGTTTAAAAATACATGAATATTGGTATTGAAACTGGCAGCTGGAATTTTCTTGTGATGTTTATATTTGAATTTTTCTTCAGGAAACCAGAAACTGGCAGCCATTGGAATACGAGTCAACCAGTGGATAACATATCATGGCTTAGCAGTGAATGTGAACCCAGACTTGACCCCCTTTCGTTGGATCGTACCTTGTGGGTTACAAGGCTATCAGGTTGGAAGCGTTAAAAGCTTGCTTGAGGAATTTCATACATCTGCAGACTGTGGAAGAGCAGATCTACCTGATCCCAATGATGGTCAGCTACTTGATATTACTTGTAGATCTTTGATCAATGAGTTTTCTGAAGTTTTTGAGGTTAGAATCAATTATGAAACCATGTCAAGGTTGGATTTACAAGCCGTCTGAATCTGAAAGTGAAACTAATTTAGTTGAGGCTACATTTCTAAATCCTTTGTCGATTTGAAATGGACATGGCTGTCGATGCTCTCTGAGTGTTTTAAAGAGTCCCGTGACAACAGCAACCGAACATTAGAGCAGGATTACGTATCGCTACTTTTACATCCTTAGAAGTCACAACCTTGCATACTCTCCTGAGTATTATATGGATAGCATTCAATTCCCAATGGAGGTTCTTAAGCGTACTTGGATTGAAATTGGTAGAGCTCTCAACTTGTAGTTGGTTATGCATGTTATAATATCTACATGAGATTTCTTTGCAAGATCAACTTGTAATCTGCATATTTGATATATTTTGATTAAATTGACTGATTTCTGTGCATGTTGATTCCTTTCTATTGATTAAAGGCTTATTTTTTGTTTTCCCCTATAACTCGAATTTTATCTCACTTTCCCCTTGAAACTAAAATATTGCCACTTTGCACCTTGAAACTCAATGTTTGCTTCACTTTGACGAGATTAGGTTGGGGTCTGAATCATGAAACAAACATGATTACATATCTTGTTAACCTGTAGCTTGCAAAGCTTTTTCATATCTCCTTTATTCTGTTAACGGCCGTACATGACTTCCTTATTGTTGTTAATGTTATGCAGTGCTGTGATTGACAACTTTAATTTGTACAAATACTTGTTTTCACATCTTAATCCACTTGGTTTTATTGGTTTTATGCACTTACATATTTCTGTGGGCTGTTTTGATATGAAAGCTGAAAGGGCTTTGTGGTATCAGTTGATCTACCAATTGATTCATTTTAAAAAGAAAATCTATTTTGATTTAAGGTGAAAGCTCTATTCATAATCCTTCATGGTGGGCGATCTGGAAAAACCAAAAAAGAAGCTTGCGGTATCCCCCCCCCCAGGATTGCGTAACCTTTCCTCCGCCTGAACTTTTCTGTTACCAAAGAAAAAAAAAAAAAAAGGTATAGAGCCTTGATAAGTATATGACATATCCCCAGTTTTCCCTTCAATTTTCCATAGCTATTTTAATATCTATTTATCCTATTACTTTTAATTTTATATGATAATAGTTTCTGTCTTGGATTTGTTAGCTTGCACGTTAGTTATCAAACTTTATTGCATATGTCTATATATATAGTGTCAACTATATAATGATTAATGAAGCATATGCTTTCCTGTTGGAAATGATTACCCAGATTGCATGTACTTAATGAGAGATTTTGTATAAATCTATTTAGATTTTGTTGGATTGCATCTTTACTTGTTTATCTAAATCTGTTTCTGTTCCAATGTTTCTTTCATTATAATATTTCATATCAATCAAAACGATATTTGGATAATAGTGTTGAATTAGTAATATACCAAGTTATTTGAGCATGGTTAGAGTGGATGTTGTTGATGCACAAAATCAGTGAGGACTTTGGTATAATGAAAGTGTTAAGTTTGTGACATTCGCTAGATTATTTCGGTCACTAGAATGGATAAGTACGTAAATGGATATAGACATGGAAGCAAACACAAGATGTACGTGGTTCACCCATATTGGCTACGTCTACGGAGTAGAGGAGTTCTCATTAATTGTGAAGGGTTTACATAAGTACATAGGTTCAAGCTCTCCTTTAGTGAGTACAAGTGAATGATTTAGTACAAATGACATTAGGAAATATTGTGAGAGAATGATCTCTATTTATAGAAGAGAGTTTCTAGTTTCATTCTGACATTGACATGTGTCGTGTTGTGATTGGCTTTTGATGTCGACACGTGTCGTGCTATGATTGGCTTCTGATGTCGAAACGTGTCGCGCTGTAATTGGCATCCTGGTTGGAGGGAAACTCTTATGGGTTTTTGACAGTATAACGTTGACCGGTGCTCAATAGTTTCGAGATTGGTCAAGTATGGTACAAACAGTGCTCCCTTAAGTTCCCGAGTGATAAGCTCCTCGGTTGGGGACTTGCAAGATCCAAACTATTGAGTAATCACGAAACTTCTAAATACCGAAGTGTGGTATCATTTTCACTTGTCTTATCTGTCTCATATGTAGATGTGACATATTATCTGGAAGTACTTTTCCTCCATCCAAAGTTGGTGTCTTTAACCGATGAAGATGCACAAGGTAATGTATCAATTTCACTTGAAGCTTACTTGTAGTTTCGGGCTTGGTCAAGTGTGATACAAACTCTATAGTAGGAGTCCCTCAAGTCGCCGAGTTAGGAGATTTGTCGAAGGAGGTAATAGACAAGGTAGGCAATCAGACTTCCAAGCAAGCAACCTGGATCAGAGGTTCGACTTCGGCTTCCGATTGATTGTTCTCATTTTCCTTGTGTTGTAAACAGTAACAAGAATAAGGATAAGCAAATGGAGAAGAGATGATATGAGATACTTTTGCTTTTGAAGAATTAACTTTCTACATGCTTATTCTTGAACTGGGTTGGAGGGTTTTCTGGTTTCCTCCAGAGTATAAGGCTGACTCAAGAATTTGAGGGTCAAAACAAGTCCATCAAATCTAGAGTACGTTCGACCCTGATGATATGAGATACTTTTGCTGTTGACAAAGTAGTGGATGTATCGGCACGTGTTCTGTTACGCTTGTCTTCACATGCTTCCTTGTATCTTTCTCACTTGCCCTATATGTTCCTCAGGCAGATGTGGTATCTTCACTGGAAGCATAAGATGTTGAAGATGAGTACTCGAGAGCAATGCCAGATAAGTAATTGGGCAAAGGGTTCCAGGTAGTTAATTCCTGACTGGAAGCTTGATTCCAAGTGCTGATTGATTGCTCTTTTTCTCCTTGTCTTGCAGGTAAGAACAAGGCCAAAGGAAAAGACAGGGAAAAAGTATAATATGGGATACTCTTGCTGTTGACAAAGAGTGGATGTATCGGCACTTGTTCTGTTACGCTTGTCTCCACATGCTTCCTTGTATCCTTTTCACTTGCCCTATCTGTTCCTCAGACAGATGTGGTATATTCTCTGGAAGCATAAGATGTTGAAGATGAGTACTCGAGAGCAATGCCAGGTAAGTAATTGGGCAAAGGGGTCCAGGCAGTCAATTCTTGACTAGAAGCTTGATTCTAAGTGCTAACTGATTGCTCTCTTTCCCCTTGTCTTGCAGGTAAGAACAAGGCCAAAGGAAAAGATAGGGAAAAATTATGATATGGGATACTTTTGCTTTTAACCATGATGATATGAGATACTCTTGCTCTGGTGTGGCTTGTTTGCAGATGTATTATAGGGAGGAAAATAAGCTGATCATTTCGAGAGACTGCTGAGAATGCCATCTCGGATGTGAAGAACAGTTGAGCATTTTTTTTATTTGCAGGTCTGCCTGGCTGTGAAGGATGGAAGTCGACATATATAGGAGTCTCCCTAACAACAAGTAGTAGTGCTATTCATTTGCTCTTCTTTGTCATAGCAATGTAGTGGGAGTTGCAAGCTTCACGTGTTTTAACTTTGTCAGAGCACTTTGAAAAAGTGGTATGTGGTATATGGAAAGCTGATGTTGCGTGTGAAGATTGCAAACAAGCTTTATCCGAGGAAATCTGTCTCTCGAAGTTCGAAGAGCGGTGCCTCTTTGGTTTTCGAAACAAGCAATCCTGGTAGGGATCTGGCTCTCGAGATTCAGAGAACGGTGCCTCTTCGATTTTTGAGAAAGCAATCCTGTTAAGAGTTTGACTATTGAGATTCGGAGAATAGTGTTTCTTTGATTTTTTAGAAAGTAATCATGTTTGGAGTTTGGCTCTCGAGATTCGGAGGGCGGTGCCTTTTCAATTTTTGAGCACGTAATCCTGTTGGGAGTCTGGCTCTCGAGATTTGGGGAGCGGTGCCTCTTCGATTTTTGAGAAAGCAATCATGTTGGGAGTCTGACTCTTGAGATTCGGAGAGTAGTGTCACTTCGATTTTTGAGAAAGTAATCCTGTTGAGAGTCTGCCTTTTGAGATTCGAAGGGCGGTGCCTCTTCGATTTTTGAGCAAGCAATCTTGTTGGGAGTGTTTTCTCGAATGTGAGTAAAGGTTGGGCATGTTTGCCAGTCTGCCTTGCCACAGAGCACAGAGGTTAACACACATTGAGATTTTCTAGTTATCAAGCAGTGATGCTGTTCTTTTACCCTTGTGGGTAATAGTAGGGTAGCTGGACTTCAAAATTTATGTGTCTAAACTTTGTCAGAGATCTTTGGCAAAGTTATTTGTGGTACTCGAGGAGCTGGTGTTGCGTGTGGAAAGTGGTGCCTCTTCAATTTTTGAACCAACGGCCATGTTGCCCATTCTTTTATAAGGGCACCAAATGTGTGCAAAAAGTACATTCAGAGAGTTATTGCTTGTAGGAATTTTCCCCTTACTTCAGAAATTTATTGCACCTCATTTCTCCTTCATCATTTCTGAGAATGTCTGGTCCATCCGACCATCGTTTTGACTTGAACTTTAGTGAAGAGGTAGCCATGCCTTCTTAAGACAATATATGGCGTCCATCTTTCTTGTCCCTTACTGGTCCTCTTACTGTTAGGGATTCTGTAATGAAGAATGATATGACCGCTGCGGTGGTGGCCAGGAACCTTCTCACTCTCAAAGATAACAGACTATTTTCCAAACGGTCTGATGAGTTGGCTGTTAAGGATTCTTTGGCTCTCAGTATTCAGTGTGCAGGTTCTGTGTCTAATATGGCGAACGCCTATTTACTCGAACCCGCCAAGTTGAATCATTGGCGGCTGAAGTGATAAGTCTCAAACAGGAGATCAGATGGCTCAAGCATGAGAATAAACAGTTGCACAGACTCGCACATGACTATGCTACAAACATGAAGAGGAAGCTCGACCAACTGCAAGAATCTGATGGTCAAATTTTACTTGATCATAAGAGATTTGTGGGTTTGTTCCAAAGACATTTATTGCTTCGTCTTCTAGGGCTGTACCGCGTAATGAAGCTCCATATGATTAATCTTTGATGCCTCATCCTTCTGGGGTTTTGCCTAGTACTGAGGCTTTGAATAATCACCCTCTGGTGCCTCCTGTTTCTGGAGCTCTACCGACTGCTGAGACTTATTCTGAGCAACATTTGTGAAAGCTACCTCTTGTTTGTTTATTTTGATTCATGTATATGTACATATTTGTAACTTATCAGAGATATCAATAAACAAGTTTTGCTTCATTTCAACATATTGTGTTAAATATACCAAGGCCTTCTTCACTAAGTTCTTTGAATTTTTTCTTTTGTTGAAGCTTGTATGTTGAAGCTTTGTGAGTGAAGCCTGTAGGTTGAGGTAGTATTCTCTTAATTTTCGAAGCGAGGAAAACTTCTCGTTTGGAGAGTTGAAAAATCCAAGTCACTGAGTGGTCGTGAGGCTTCCGAGTATCAAGGTGCAGTAGCATATGGTAAAAGTCCCCCAAGTCTCTGGTCGAGGGAGTTGACGAATGAGGCATTTCCTTTATAAGTGGTAGCCCAAAACACCTTCTTCATATATATTTGTTATGAAAGTTGTTAGTCAAAAGAAGAGGAGGCCTAGGCAATTTTTTTTTTTCGAATTTTCGAAAAAAAAAATATATATATTTTAAAACTTTGTAGGTGAAGCTTTTGTGGTGGGGGAAGCTTTTGTTGTTGAAGCTTTTATGGGTGAAACTTTTGTGGTTGAAGCTTTTGTGGTGGGATAAGCTTTTGTTGGTGAACCTTTTGTGGGTGAAGCTTTTGTGGTGGGTGAAGTTTTTGTAGGTGAAGCTTTTATGGGTGAAGCTTTTGTAGGTAAAGCTTTTGTAGGTAAAGCTATTGTGGGTGAAGCTTTTGTAGGTGAAGCTTTGGAGTTGAAGCTTTGTAGGTAAAACTTTGGAGTTTAAGCTTTTGTTGGGTACCATGAATTGATTTTGCTTCACACTATCTTGATCAAGATAATGTGAAGTTTTTGAGAATTTGTAATTGTTCTCCATTGATAAAGCTTTTGTTGGTGAAGCTTTTATTGGTGAAGCTTTTATGGGTGAAACTTTTATTGGGTATCATGAATTGATTTTGCTTCACACTATCTTGATCAAAATAGTGTAAAGTTTTTGA